CTATTGTTCTAAACTAGTTTAGAGCTTACTATTTGGAGTAAAATGTCAAGACATATTTAGCTTTTCTGGATTTAATGAGATGCTTGTGAAATAACAAATTAGGATGTTGTTGTTTTTTCTGTGCTGTTTGTCTGCTTGGAGTATTTATATAAGGCTTACATTTTTTTTTATTAATTGTCTATGCCAAAATAAGAGGGGAAATATAAGAATTTCATTTGCACATTGAAGACATTCAATAGTTTTGTTTATTTTTAAGTGTATTCAGATAAACAGCTCACATTTGGGGCTTTTTGCATTTTTTAAAAAATGTTCTTTGAAGCAGGATCAACATTGTGACAATGTGAATAGCTTGCATGTAAATGTTTTATATGTATTCCCAAGCGTTCCAAAAAATTTTGCAATATGCAAGGGCATATTATTGAATCTGCAATGCGAGTTTCGTACTCATTTTAAGTGGGCTACGTCAAATTTCATGTATAGTAACAAGCCTAACCACTCAATCAAGAATTGCCTACAACTAGATCATCCTGACATAACCTGCTAAGCTTGCCAAATTGACTTGTGACATCTTCATCCAATGTGGATTCTGGGCCAAAGGCGAGGGTTCCAAATAGTAAAGACCATAAAACGTTTGAGAGGACTGTACACAGTGCACCACACCTTGGAATGGGTCCTGTTTGCTATAAGCAGCCGAGGGCAGTGCTAACTATCCCCACCCCTAGTGAGATTAAAAAAAAGCAACTCACCCAAGGTGGCCCAAAGAGGCCTTGTTCGCTTCGCTGTTTTAGTTCCACTATGGAGGTGCCACACCGAGGGGATGGGGGCTGAATCCTCTGGCTTGTGATTTCTAAAAAGTTATAGCCTTGTATTCAAGATTTTGGAACTTTTTGCATATGGAACTTGGACAAAGCAGATGCTTCACTACTTTCAAGAATCATGCATATTTCCCCACCCCCTTTTTTTTTTAAATTAAATATTCAACTCCTGTAAACAAACTTAATATTTTTACTAAACCCTAACCTTTTGCACTGTATGAATTTTAATCCTTAATCATTTTTTTTTTAAGGAATGTGATGGCTTAGATGAAGATAACATAAAACTTCAAGAAGAAAACAAGGCACTTATAAGGGCTATGTCCAAGCTGACTTCCAATGTGTAATGGTACAATAGTCAACTCTGTGATGGTACAATAGTCAACTCCCATATTGTTGATGTGAAGAGCTAGCAGTTGAGTCAAGACATGTCACATTTTATGTACAACTTTGTAGTTGGTGTTTCTTGTCAAGTTTCTTTATAACTTTTTAGTCAATATTTAGTTAACTGATATTCAATTGTTATCTAGCCTTTGTCATTTGAAATATATATTCATTGAAATCTGTGGTATCATCATTTCATCATGTCTTCATCATTCAACCGTTTCAACTAGAAATGCATACTTTGACTAACACTGAAAACTATATATATTTAAAAAACAAAGATTCAGAAACTAAGTGATACAGTCTTTACTGTCAATGTTATAAAGTTTTGAAAAAATATTTTCATCATATAACCCTGTAAATAAATGCTATAACATTACAAATTTTAAGAATGAATTAGTATTTTGGAATAAATTAAATGTCTTCAATGGTTTTGAAGTAATTTTAAAGTGGGTCAAGTTTATTTACAACACAGAAATTGTTTGTAACAAACAATACATATCTCAGCCTTGTTGTTTGTTTTTTTTTATAGTATACAAACATAGCAGAGCTGTGACATTTTTGACAGTTTTATGTGTTCGAGAAACTGTGTGGGCATTTTGTGGGCTAATGCTACAGATTGAGGTGTTGGCATTATCTTGGCTTTTTTATTCCCTTCTCTAAAAAAAAAAAAGGTTTCTACTGTTTTACATGTTTCTGTTATTCAAGGATGTTCATGTATTAGTTTAGATCTTGACATAAAATGTTTTTAAAAAGTTATAGAATTATATCATTTGAGTGATCCAAAGAAATGGAAATGTACTTTGACTACAAGGAATATTCTGTAACAAACATAGCAATAATTTAAATGTCACACAAACTAACAGTTGTCTACAGAAAATATAATGCATCAAGTTCAAGTACTTTTATACATTGTCCATAGATTTTGTATCAAAGTCTCACACATTCAAATAATGTTAGATTAGCTTCTGAACTTAAATTACACTCTTCCCATGATGAGGATGAATCACATTTTGTGTATGTGTACATAAAGGTAGAAGTTCAGTCATTGGCTTGAAAAGCTATGTTCATTTGAGGCATGCATAGGTTGGTTTTCTTCAGGTATGGGCTTCTTTCTCGTGGCCAAAACCTTAACATTCACCGCTCAATGCAACTGATCTTGAGCTTAGTGAACAGGATAATAATAATGGCAATGTCTTTGATTCTGAAGATTACGGGGAATTGTGAGCTTCAAAGCTAGTTATGAAGCAAGCTATTCGTGTAAAAATGTTTCATCTTCTGACAAATTTATGATGTGTCTGATTGTTGATTGAATTTTGGTTAATTTATGTTTAGAATAGCATAATTTAACTTGTACAACAGGCTGTGCAATTCTTAATGGTATTAGGATGGATTGTAATGCTGGAAAAAAACGTGATAAGTGATTCCAAACTGTGACCAATACTTATTCTCTTACCAAATTTCTAGTTATTTAATTCTAAAATAGTTCAAAAAGTGTCTAGCTTAGTCATATCAGTTGTAATAACTATGTTTACCCCAAGCCTATTATATCAAGCAAAAGAGATGTCCAGGAAGTCTTGTTGGCTCTGTTGTACATTTCATTGCACTTGGATTAACAAGATGTCTTTCATTTGATGTATACTTAACAGTATACTCTTAATGTTCTTGATTGTTCATTTGTTCTTAATAAAAGGACTAAATTAGGATAATAATGTTTTTGGTCAGTCGTTGGTTTGTAGCACCAAATCACTAAAATCACTAGTACAACTAAACGGATGTAATACAGAACTTTGAAATAACATTAACTTCTTTTTCAAAACAAAACTAAATAAACCTTTTATAAACAATATAGACAACTTCAACTTGAGATGAGATAAAGTTCTAATAGTAATGATATAAAATGGCATTTAAACAAAATCTTACTCACTACAAAACATATGTCCTAATTGTTTCAAATCTCTGTGGTGTCTCATTCTTAACATAGATTGTCACAGAGCTGCTTATCTTGCATCATTCTACAAGACTAACAATTAATGCTCCCTTTCTTCATCATCACTTAGAAACAAACACACACACACACTCCATAGCAAAAAAAAAATAAATTAAAAAGGAATTATCCTTCAATCTTATCTGCATAGATTGTACATTCATTAATAATAATAACAATAGTTTCAGAAATCGCCTACAAAACTAACATAAAGGTGTTTGCAAATTCATGCATTTCTAAGGCAAGCCAGATCAAAATGACTATGTCAGAACTGTCTCCTACAAAATAACACAATAAAAAATGAACATTAAAACAGCCTGTGACTGTAATTATTTAGATAATTATATTGTTAGGCCTTTCTGTTCAAGCCCAAATGAAGTTTGTGAAACGAGGCTTTTTTTTTTAATAAGGGGCCTTTTTTTAAATTCATGTATTGAGAAAACTTTGTAACAAGCTTTTTAGACTTAGAGACATTTTGTTATGTCTAATGCTTGCTTTGTTTACATTCCCTGATTTGTCGAGTTATTATACATTTTAATTTTTTTTTAAATAAAGTATCCCTATCATTTTTTTGTTTGCAAAGTTTTTGCACATACTTTTTAATTATATTAGATATGTCTGTCTAATATATGATATAATGCAGAAACAAAAAAAGAACAGTATATTTTATTTTAAGAACTGTAAAAGCTTGTCATTTTGTTTGTAGTCATTTTCAAAGGAATGTATGCCGCTTGAAAAGTATCCATTATATAAGTCACGTTTTTTGACAGTGAAAACTCAAAATATAACAAAAGATTAGTCTGAAGGGTATGTGTGTTCCATTTCACTCATAATACAATGATATATATTAAATAATGTACATATTTGACAAATAGCATAAAATTTAATTGGTAAATGTGCGCAATATTCACATTTTCTACACTGACCCCTACTCATATCAATAAATCTATGGTCTATGCATTGACTTTATTTTCAGTTATGCATTTTTTTATGGCAATTAAACAAAAATAAAATTCAAACATAAAATTTTAAATATCCATAGTATTTCCTCTAGATCTCTGAAAATTATTTCAGAATTTTAATTCCTTGTTTTCAGTTTTTCTTCTTGAAGATTTTAGAATTCAAATTATACTTTCTATTTTTTTTACATAGCAAATATAGTTATATAGATGAGATTTTTCACTTTATACTATCAATCACTAGGTATTAATGCTTACTTGTTCAGATGCCATGTTAATAAAGTAGATTCACAACATACATGTAAAATTAACACCATGGGTGAACAAAACATTAAATAATTTCTGGATTTTGGCTATTATTGTTTTTTACAACAAAATAGGCTCTGTATATTTGTTTCAATCTGTTGGTCAATACCTGCCATTTCTTCATCCATATGTAGCCATTATTACATTAATAGAAGTAATCTACTCCCAACTAAAAAAAAGAAGAGAAACTAACTTTTGATGGTATATTTGTATTTTTCTACATAATTTCATATTTTTGTTCTGAAACACATGTAATTGTGTTTTTAGTTAATGTTAGTACATAAAGTCAACTAAATCATTAGTTAGTGTTAATACATAAAGTCAACTAAATCATGTACAAGAATGAAAGACAAATGTTTATAGCACAAAATGACACTTCCTTTTTTTTTTCATTGAATAACACCCAACTCACAATTGTAAACATTTGATAAAAACAAAAAAAAAAGGAAACTAGTTTTACCTAGTCAAGTGAAAGAGAATTTATAAGGTCTAGATCTTCATGTAGATATAGAATTGATAAGTCAAAAAGTAGAGTGAATATAGTACTATTTTGGGGGGGGGGGGGGGGGGGAGTGTGGGTTATGGAATACCAGAGTTCATTTGTGGATTGTACATTGTAAAGCACTAGTATCAGCTAGTTAATTTATATATTAAAAGCTTTAGTTTTTTTTTTTTGTTGTTTTTTTAAAAATGCTTCGTTGTTTGAAAATAAAACAAACTTGTGCTACTCTGCAATTTGTTTCTCTACTTGTCGTCCAAAGATCAACATCCTTAAAATCAAAGTCATAATTTTTGTTTTTTTGTATGATTTATTTATGTACACTATTTATATCATGTACAACTTGTGACATCATCAATGTGAAATGGGTTATATTTTAATATTTACTACTTTTGGCTTTTGTTTACATTCCTTGTGAGATACAATATTCAGTTATATTATAATATACTATCATTTAAGTGATGTTGTGAGAACTCAAATTGTTATAGCTATACATTTCATCTGAAAGTAAAAAAAAAATAATTTTTATTTATTATTTATTTTTTAAGTATTTTATTGATTGAAAAGAACTGTTGCTTAATTTTGTTTCAACTCCTAGAATGTTTTGTTTAGATTAAGACTAATAAAATTAAGTCATGTCCTAATGAGTTTTTCTGTGATTTCAATAACAAATCAGTTTAGAGTAAAAAAAATGGAATTATATAGAGTTTTCGGAACAAGTACAAGAGGTTGAGAGGACCAGCAAGCTGAAGTACCCACTGTCTTGTTCTTTTGAAGAGAATGTCATTATATTCACTAAAAAGAAGACTTCAAAGTAATATTAAATTAGTTTAACATAAAGTCTTGTTTTAAAATGGGGGAAGGTGTATATAGTAGAACTACCAAAGAGTCACATTATTGTTGGACATCAAAATCTTTCGCATAAGATGAAATTTGATAAGCTTTGTTTAATTGCATTCTACATTATCACTTGTATAGCCCTGGACCCAATCACTCATCTTCTTTCTGCTAAAGAAAAGAAAGACAATTTGCAACTATATAAAACTACCGTGCTATCTAGGCATTGATATTATAATAATAACAGAGGCGTTGTGTAAAGTTTAAGTTGAAATTCAAAGGGATAACTCAATATTTCACAGCATTATGCAGAGACTGTCTGAGTGGTAAAGCACGTTTTCCGAATCGAGAGCTCTCGGTTTTGAATCTTATGAAGACTGGAATTTTGAATTTCAGATTTTTAGGACGCCCTCTCCCCCAACTCTTAATGGGTACCTGTTGGGAAAATAAAGGTGGTTGTCATCCATAGCACCAGATGGCCTTTACAACATCTGCACTATAGATTGCAAGGTCTGGAAATGGTTACTTTTTACCATATGAATGATGGCCTGGCTATGGTCAATTGATCCTGTCCAGTCAAACATACATGCCATAGGTTTGTGCTGGGGGGGGGGGGGGGGGGATAAACATCATTATTACTGAAGAAAAAATCTTTTTAAGAATAAGAATGCCTGAAACAAGATGAGTTCTTACAGTATCTTGTCTTTATTGTTATAATTGTTTCTTCATATTTTATTTTTTTCTAATTATAAATAATGGGTCTAGTGTCTAAAGAATTGTTATTTTTGGTCCTGCAGTACGCCTTGTTAGTAATCACATGATCTAGTAGAGTTGAGTAGATTTATTTCATATTTTTTAGTCCAGTCACTTGAAGAGATTTTCTTGATGACTATGGAATCGACTGACTCTTCTAATGGTAATGGATGAGGGCAGTGTTTCACATGACTACCCAAACCCAATGGTGATCTGCATATTTTGCTACATCTGATGCTGTTAAAACCATTGTCCACTGCAGGTCTAATTTAATGCTTTTTGTCTTCTGCAAGATCTTTTGGGCTTCTAATGAAATTTCCAGCTGTCTCTTTTAGGTGCCATCTGGTAATAGTTGCTTTCCTCTATACCAGTGAGGGCAAAATGGCATTTGAATAGATATTTATAGTGCTTGAGGAGGACACTTGTGTCATGATAACCTTCATTAACCTCACCAAATATGATAGGCTTAGATCTACATCACTAACAGAACTGCAGGACAAAAAGTAACAATTCTTTAGACACTTGACCCATGTTCCACCATGCATGCTAGGTGTTTGACCCAGCGGAGCTGTGGACGGTCAGTTGTGCCTCTATTCCAGGGGTGGCCAACCTTTTGTTTCCATGCTCCATTTTTTTCCCCCTTTGATTCAGATTTTAATTTTACAAGTTTCAGTCCTTTCAAGTATGGTCATTTGTACATATTTGGTTAGTTATAAACATAAAGATAAGAGAGTCGAGAACCATGTCTGTATAGTATGGCTTTAATACACTGAATGACTACACAACACACATTTCGTGAACACATTCTCACGGACGAGTTACAAGCACATGTAAACATAAGAACGACAACCGATACAGAGTATAATTTTCATAACATTCACCCCCGGTTCAAATAATGCTAACTAGTATTATAAACAATAGAAGAATTAAGTAAGTGCAGAATAATAATAGAGATTCAAGTAAACAAACAATGTAGAATAGCATGACATAATGTTACATGTTGATATAAGTAAGTGTAAATCAAATAGCTTAGATATAGCTGATAGATCAAATAGATCAAATATCTCATTAAACGCAAGTCAACAAAACCAAATGAAAGTAGTAAAATAAACAAATGTCATTTTGGAGACAAAACTGAATGTCAAAGTAAGAGTTCTAGTAAGCTGATGAGCTTTTACACTTTGTAGTTGGGCCTAGTTCTCCTTACTCTAAGATTGTATGTATGTGTAGTTTCATCTGCTTGAGTTTCGGACGGTCTGGCTATGTCTTCAGTGGTGCTGGTGGTTTCTTCAGACATGATAGAATCAGTAGGTTGATTCCTGGGAGGTAAGCTTTGGATGGGGCAGCCAATATCAAGCTCTGTTCTACTCTGATTCTCATTTTCTATAACTTTTTGTTCCTCCCTAGGGGCTAACATTCGTAATGAGACAGTTTCCTCTCGACCGGTTGGTGTTCGGATTACAGCGTACTGAGGGTTGCATGTTACCAAATCAACTTCCTCTGTTATGGGATCGTATTTAGATGATCTAACGTTCTTCTTCAGCAGGACAGGACCAGGACTGGTCAACCATGTTGGCAAGGATGTCCCAGAACCACTTCTTCGGTTGAACCCAAGAAATCGTTCATGTGGTGTCCTGTTAGTTGCAGTGCATAGTAATGACCGGATGGATTGCAGAGCATCATTTAGTACTAGTTCCCATTTAGCTATGTCCAATTCCTTAGAATGTAGAGCCAAGGTGATGGCTTTCCATAAAGTCCTGTTAAACTTCTCTATTTGTCCGTTTCCTCTCGGACTGTAAGGGGTCGTTCTACTGGTTGCAATTCCTCTCTCGTGGAGGAAATGCTGCACCTCTGTAGACATAAACGAAGTTCCCCTGTCAGTGTGGACGTACGCTGGAAATCCAAATATTGCGAATAAATCATTGAGACATTTAACAACCGTAGAGGAAGACATATCGGGACATGCAAATGCAAATGGGAATCTAGAGAATTCATCTATAATGGTAAGTAGATATCTATTTCTTGAAACAGTAGGTAGAGGTCCCTTGAAAGCCATACTAATTCTCTCAAAAGGTTGAGTTGCTTTAATCAGTTCTCCGGTCGGCTGTCGAAAAAAACGGGGTTTTAGTTCTGAACAAGCTTGACATTGTTCTATTACAGTTCTGACGTCATCACAGGAAAATGGAAGATTTTGAGTCCTTACGTAGTGCAATAGTCGAGTAACGCCCGGGTGGCAAAAACTAGTGTGCAGCAATTTAAGGTCATTGCGAGTGATGGCAGATAGATAGTTTCTGGTAAGTGTATCAGCTACAGTGTTCTGCTTGCCAGGGCGATAGATGACGTCATAGTGGAAACACGAGAGTTCTAGTTTCCACCTCTGGATTTTTTCATTTTTAATTTTTCCTTTGTTTGACCTGTTATACATGAAAGAGACAGATCGCTGATCCGTAACAAGTGTGAACGCTTTACCAACTAAGAAATGTTTCCATTTTCTCAGCGACTCAACAATGGCATATGCTTCTTTCTCAACTGAAGAATGTTTTCTTTCACTTTTTGTTAATGAGCGAGAGAAGAAAGCAACGGGCCGGCCATCTTGGTTGAGGGTAGCCGCAATGGCTATATCAGAAGCATCCGTCTCAACGGTTAAAGGGCGATTCGGATCAATAGTATATACGGCGGCTTTTTCAAGCTCATTTTTCAAACTTTCAAATGTTCTTTTGACTTCTTCTGAGACAGGAAATTGTTGATTTCTTGTTAACAGGCTAATTTTTGTTGAGAAGTTAGGTATCCACTGTGAGTAGTAAGCCAGAAGACCCACTACTCGTTTCTGTTCATGCATGTTCACTGGTACGGGTAATTCCCTTAGAGCGCGAAATCTCTCAGGATCCGGCTTAAGTTGTCCTTTGGAAATCTCGTATCCTAACAGTCTCACTTTAGCAGTGCTAATTTCACTTTTTGTTTCATTAAGAGTGATTCCATACTTTTGAGCACTATCAAGAAATCGCTGTAGGTTTCGGTCTTGTGATTCAGAGTCCATACCGCAGATGGTCACATTGTCCACATAAGCAAAAGTGTCAGTGAGTCGTTCGTCTTCGATGATTTTGTCAATCGTACGCTGAAAACAGGCGACTCCATTCGTAACGTCAAACGGAATCCGACGGAATTGATACAGTTTCCCACATGCTTCGAAGGCTGTGAACGGCCTTTCCTCTTCTTTTATAGGAATCTGATGGTATGCACTTTTCAGGTCTAAAGTGCTTTATACAGAGTATTGCGAAATCTTCTCTGCCAGTTCGTCAATTCTGGGCATAGGGTAGGCGTCTAGTAGAGTGAACCGGTTTATGGTTTGGCTGTAGTCCACAACCATTCTTTTCTTATATCTGTCATTTGTTGTGACTAGGACTTGTGCACGCCAGGGAGATTTAGATGGTTCAATAATTTCATCCTTTATTAGTTGTTGAATTTCCTTCTCTATAAACTTTCTATCTGGAACTGAGTATCTGCGAGACCTTGTAGCCACTGGGGTACAGTTTGGTGACAGATTACTAAATAGGCTAGGAGCCTCTACCTTCGCTGGCTGGAGAGTACTCAGGCATAATGATGGTTTCTGACCATCGAAAGGAATAAACAAGTTTTGGTGCAAACTTATAAAGTCAAGTCCAAGTATTACGTCAGAGCATAAATTGTCTAGTAGAGAAAGTCTAACTCCCTCGTATCGTTCATTTTTGAGACGTATGTTAGCGTAGATATGCCCTTGAGTGATCCGAGATAGATGGGTGGAAGCCATAAAGATTCTGTTGCCTGAGGAACATGTCTGCCATTTGTGCTTCTTAGCGATGTGCGTCGAAATATAGCTTTCACAGCTCCCAGTGTCTACTAGGGCTTTCAATGGCACGTTGTTGATGCAAATTGGTATTGTAGATTTGTTT